CAGTCTGAAGCCAAGAGCCCAGAGCCTCATTTGGGTATCCCACATGCATGCAGGGTGCTACAGCTTTGGGCTGTCCTCAACTGCTTTCCCAGCCCACAAGCAGGGAGCTAGGTGGGAAGCAGAGCTGCCAGAATTAGAACCAGCATCCATATGGGATCCCAGTGCGATCAAGGTAAGGATTATTAGCCACTAGGCTATTGTGCTGGGCCCAAGATTTATTTTTATCTTATTTTACTTGAGTTACACAAAAAGAGGATGAGAGAGAGAGAGAGAGAGAGAGAGAGAGAGAGAGAGAGAAACTTCCATCTCTGGTTTGCTCTCCAAATGGCTGTAACAGCCAAAGCTGAGCCAGTCCCAAACTGGAAGCCAGTAGCTTCTGCGTCTCCCAGAAGGGTGCAGGGGCCCAAAGACTTGGGTCATCATCCACTGTTTTCCCAAGCACATTAGCACGAAACTGGACTAGAAGTGGAACAACCAGAACATGAATCAATATCCACATAGGGTACTGTTGTCACAAACAGTGGTTTAACTGGTTTTGCCACATTTCTGGCCCCAATATAACCTTTTTCATGATTCTTGAAATCATTGTCCAACTGGAAGAATGGGGAGTATGAAAGTTTGTGTAAAAAGAAAAGATGCGTCCAGGCTGCATGATTGCATTCTTGATGAGCGGCAGAGGAAAGATAAAGTTTGCTCATCTTCCTTAGGTATAGGGTCATTTTTGTTCTAAGATTTTATTTATTTTTCCTGGAAAGTCAGATTTACAGAGAGAAGAAAACAGAGAGACAGAGAGACAGAGAGAAAGATCTTCCATCCTCTGTTTCACTCCTTAAGTGGTCACAGCAACCAGGGCTGAGCTGATCCAAAGCCAGGTGTCAGGAACCTCTCCTGGGTTTCCCATGTGGGTGCAGGGTTCCAAGGCTTTCGAGCATCCTCAACTGTTTTCCTAGGCCACAAGCAGGTAGCTGGATGGAAAGTGGAGCAGCCAGGATATGAGCCGGTGTCCATATGTTATTGCAGACATTTAAAGAGAGGATTTAACCATCAGGCTATGGTGCACGGCCTGGCACAGGGTTTTTTTTTTTTTTTTTCTTTTCTTTTTTTGCCACTGTCTCAAAGAAGGTTCTTTCCTTTTCAGGGACCAAAATACAACAGAGGAGATACAGAAAGAGCATGTTTTCTTCTTTAGTTTGCTGTTAGTGTCAGTGTCTTTTGTAAGAGCAAAACACGTTCTGTATCTATGAGAACCATATAATGATTATTTAATAGTTAACTGTGAAAGCACTTTCTAGAGAAAGGAAGAGGTAAGGGAGCTTGGGCAGGTGCAGTGTTTCTGTTTTTGTGATTTAAAGCATAGATATTTGGGAACAAATTATGTTCAAAAATACTTGTAGTTTATGGTAGATCTTTAAAATTCTTAAGAAAAAAATCATAAACACTTAGTTGTATCAAATATGAGCTCAAGAGATTTCAACACAGAACTGGCCAAAGATCTTCAACTACTAATATCAACAGACCTCTTGCAGCAATAGGAATGCTATGGGAATACACACTGTGATTTAAGAGTAGACTAAGAGGCAATGTACTGCCATCAACACATACCGTCACCATTCCTTCAATAGCATCACTTATAATCAGCAGATCTTTACAGGCTGGCCTAAGCACATAAGAGCCACTTTTTCTTACAGGAGTCCAGCCTTGGGGTTGAAGTCCTAGAATTTCCAGTAAAAAAATCATAAGCACAATCATGTCACCTATGTAACTTAAATATCTTTTTATTTGCCTTTATTTGTACTATGGTATTGAGTTAGATCTTAAAACCCTGGTTAGCTAAGTTGAATGCTCAACTTACAAAAATAACTTCAGAATCTAAAAATGAGTTACTATTCATAATTTCTTTCTTATTACTTACATTTAAAAGATTTTGTTGTCACTATTAAGGCAGAGTTACAAGGAGAAAAGGATGGACAAAGCAAGAGAGAGATCCTTCATTTGGTGGCCAAAACCCTAGTTGGCTACAACAGCCAGAACTGGTCAAGCAATGCTTCTCATCTTTCTCAACTGTGAAGTTTCTGCTTTCCCCCGCTTTCCATACTCTTGTCTTTACAAATAGGTCATTATGCTTAGACCATGCTTAGGGAGTGAGGAAATGTTTTCCTTGTCCTTCAGGTTGAGGAAACTGCTTATTAATTCTAATAATTATTTTAAATTTTAAAAATACGAGAAGATCCCAAAAGTCTAGAGTTTTGTAAATGAAGATGAAGGAAAAGATGCAAAAATCCATATGAGGAAGCCAAGAACTAAGAAAATCAGGTGATGTTTGCAAGAAATGAATGAGGCAGGGATCACACACCCCTAGAGAGATAAAGGCTCATTAGCAAGTACACATCCATCCAGCTTGTTCCTGCCTTCTCAATTCTGGAAACACAAAGCATTTGACCATCTGGAAACTAATATGAAGTCCATAAACCCTTTACTTTTCTCTTGAGATGAATGTAACACCTCCTTCATTTCCAATGGCAAGTCTGCATTTTTGTTCTCCAAAATGCATTGAATGGTTTTCAGATTCTCAGGAAGAATTCAGTGACTGTGAAGTGAAGAGGTATTATTTCATAAATGCCTTGTTGAAGATCTTCCTAATTAGTGACTTCAATCTTTACCATCAACTGAAAGTTCTTTCTTGAAACTCTCCCAAAGACCTGCTTATCGAATGCAACAGTCCTTTGGTATTCTCCTTGTTGTTCTGTTGGATTTGATTGTTTCAGTTAATTTCCTTCTAGTATTAGATAACAATTGCTGTATGCAAACTGTCCCCAACTCAGTGACTTTTAAAAAGAAAGTATTGACATCCATGGTCTCTTAATAGCTAGGCTTGCCAATAACATCCTTCATGAAGAATTAGGGCCACTAGTGCATTAATGTACTCTTGATTTTTGAATCCCTTTATTTATACACAACTATCTCTGCCTCTAACTCCAGATCTGTTTTTCTTTGTAGATAGCAGTATCTATCCATCTATCTATATGTATATATATATATATATATTTAGATCTGCATCCTATCTTATTTATACTATATATATCTAGAGCTTCTCTTATCTTGATCCTTGCACCTTTTATTGTTTCTTTAATTCCTTTACTTTCTAGCTCAACACTAACATAAGCTTTACCTAAGGTTCAGCATTTCAGCCTTGATTTTTTTTCCTGCATAATTCTCTTCCTAAGCAAACTTATCCAGGCTCCAACCCCTGATGCCCCCAATGGTAATTTCCAATTTATCATTAGATAGTTCCGTGTTTTCATCTGGAATTTCCCAGCAAACTTATAGCATTTGGTAAACAAGTTCATTTTAAATAAATGTTTCATCCCTATGTGAAGCATTTGGATTTTCAGATGACTATTTTGATATGAATACAAAGTCAAAACCAGTGAAAACTATATATTATGTATTCGTTATATATATATTAATAGGAATATAAAGTCTCTAAAATAGAAACACAACACATCTGAAAGAAAACAATATGGATTATAGTAACAGTTAAAGCTAGTAAGATTTTTTCATTTTAGGATTAGAGAGCTGGTTATGACTGCTGAGTTTAGAAAGCTGGAAGTGTGTTTTATGGAAAGGTATGCGGCTCCTTAATATACATGATTATTCACAATCAGTGCATTTGGGGGAAGAAAATTTAACTTGATATATGGAAATAATTTCTAGTAAGAACTATAGCAAAATAATTCACTGTGTTTATTTTCATATTTGTCATGGCGTTATCCTAAAAGTCTTGATCTCCCTTGTCCAACTTGCCTTATTGAAATCCTACTCTCCTTACCACCCAGCTATCCTAAGCTATCATCCTGCTGTAAATCCTTTCCTTGATACTAAAATTTTAATCAAGCCCTCTCATCTCATGTTGCTAATCTCCACTCTACTTCAATTAAATCAAAGGTTACTTGAAGATATAAAGAGGACATGTTAATTTGTAAGTTCAAACAGAAAACACAACACTTAGTTTATAACAGGCTTTTGGTAAATCCTCAATGTGGGATCATAGATTTCCTTATTTTTGTTCTGGAGTTACTAGTCTTATTTACAATTTGAGTTGTCTTAATTTTACCAGAGGGCATGATAAATTTTCTAATCAGTTGTCTTTCAAGCTTTTTCTATTCACCAAATAAAAACACCAAATTTATTCTGTAAGGTCTCAGATGTATACCTGATTACTTGCTAGGTTAAATATGGTAGTGAATATGCTGTATCTACATCTGACAATTATTTAAAATAAAGTATCAGCTAGTGATGGGGATTATATCCTGTGTGGGAAGACACACCACACGGGAGAACTGTCACTTTACTTTGTATTCAAGTCAGCCAGTTGTCATAGTTACTGATGTACTCTGATTTCCTTCTCAAATCAAGCCAAGTAGACCTTCAATGAAAATAAACTATTCTTCTGGCTTTATTTTTCTCTGTTCATAATTTGAAGCTAAAAATATCAACTGCATGGATATTTCTCTGCTTTTATCAATGCTGTAAGTATACAAGAGGAATAAAAGAGGTTTAATGAAAATAAGTTTTCTCTGATTGAGATTTCAGTTCATTTGTTCAGCAACGATTCACTGATCGGCTACCTAAATGATAGCCAGCTTATGCCCTCAAGTGTATCAGAATTTTGTGAGGAAGGGAGAGGAGTCAGGGTGTGTTTCGAGGAAGTGCAAGGGAACAGTTAGGAGAGTGCCACGGGAATGCAGAAGAGTGACAGCTTGTGAAGTCTGGGAGAGGACAGGGTCAGATTGATGGAAAGCATTTATCTTCTGGGTCTCTGAATCATTGCACCTGGGAAATACAGTAAATGTGTTTTCAGTTGTGCTGGATACAGGAGAGCCAGGTGACCCGGCAGGCTGGACTCAGGGAGCAGTGGCATGAAGAGGCCAGCACTGCTGCTGGCCGTGGGCTGTCACCCACTGACACTCACCACACCTCTCCTTCTGCTCTGGTCTTAGGAACTCCTTCACAGACATCCTCCGCGCCATCCTGCTGTCCCTGGAAGTCCTTATTGAAGATCCTGAGCTTCAGATAAATGGCTTCATCTTAATTATAGACTGGAGTAATTTTTCCTTCAAACAAGCCTCCAAGCTGACACCTTCGATTCTGAAACTAGCCATTGAAGGTTTGCAGGTACGTTCAACCAGTGTACACCACAGGACTGTCTGCGTCAACACTCTTTATTCTTGTTGTTGCTGCAACCAGAGGAAGAGTTGATTTTCAGAATGGAAAAGGAAATTAGATAAAATATAAAATTTGTGAGTACTCAATACTTTTACTTCTGACAGAATGCTTGCTTCTTAAAATTATCTTTCATTTTCATTAATAACTCTAAACTGCTGTTACCATGTACACAAATTGCCTACAGTAACAGTAATGAAGACAGCTTGAAGAGCTAAGCTTTAGCTTTTCTCATCTGAGAATTCACAAAAATTAAAACAAGGAAACATCTGCTTTATGAGTATGTCCTATATAAAGGAAGTACGGGGATTTTTAGCGTTTCCAGCAGCACTGTTGTGCCCCAGAAACATACCTGATGGATCATCACGTCCCAGAAAGTAATGTTAGTGTGCTGCAGTATTTGTGCTAAACTTCAGCACTTTGGGGCAGAGGAGCTGCATGGGGTTCACAGTGGACAGACTCTGAGACCCCCTCTACTCTATAAGGGTCAATGATTCTATGAAAGGCAACCAATTCCGAAACAATGCTACTTAGCTCCCTGGTGGGTCATAATTGCAGTACACAGTTAAGAGTATAGTGGGAGATTCAGAATTAGCAAATTTATGTCCCTTCTTAACTTTGAAGGAAGATTAATTCAGTTGAGAGATGACTTCCCAATACGTGGCAGTTATGCCTGTGACAAAATACCGATGTTAGACAATTTTCAGATCAGGCAATCATTGCTTATATTCCTCAAAGTGCAAAACTTAAACCTGTTTCAGTAACACTCCATCATCCAGTGTGACATGTAATCAGTGTGCCTTTTTCTTAAAGCTCGGGGTTATTCATATCAGGCCCCCAGAAAATATCTGCACTCCTGATAAATTATTTTCATGAAAAAAATCGGACTTAAAATATGGTGTTTGTTTTAGTGCCAAAAAATTTGGAATCTAGGCATAAGAGACATCTTTCCACAAGTTCATGAAAAAATGTGTATTATAAAGCCATGCATGGATTTAAAGTTTCCTTTATAGGAAAAATTAGCATCTTCTAATTCAAATTTTTCAGGAATTATTTGAGCCCCCTTGTATGTTTATAGACCAGATCAAATTTTATTGGATTCTAATTTCCTGGAAGCAGAGCAGCAGCTCGATGGAGAAGCGGCAGGCACACTCTGCTCCAGGAATGCAAGGTGGTACAGAGTGGCTGCATCACCCAGTGCACCTGGGCTCATGTTTTGCATGGCCACCCTATCGCAAACAGCCTAGTTTGACCTAACATCACAATCCTAGACTTGCTTTTTCTCATTATCAATTGCCTTCTCTCAGCTCTAACTCCTTTTTTCTGACTTCCCCTCCTCTAAACCTCTGAACATCTGATCTTTCTCTCCTAAAATCTTTTATAAAAGAGAGATTTAAAGCAAGATTCATGGCTTATTTTGCACTGCAATTATGCTAACTGTATTTTCATCCATATTTGTACAAGCTTCATGTAATCTTATCTTTTAAAAGAAATCGTTACAAATATAAGTAATTCTGATTCAAGTTCTATGTCTGCATAAGATGTTTTTGTTTTTCTTTTGTTTTGTATGTAGTAAATCAGGAAGAAAATGTCCTTTATCTCACCCTCTGTTCCATTTTTTTTTTCTGTCTGAAAATGTGTGAGTTATATAACATATCCTTTGCTAGATTCACCAGGCTGATGTGTGTCTGTGTCATGCACGTGAATGTATTTTAGATGGTAAAGCTATACACAAGTGTGAATTATTCCTGTGAGAAATATTGGATGGCATGTTGAGGGGGACAAGATGGGCCCCCATTTGGGGGGGGGGCATCTTTTCTTGTCAGGTATCAAGGTCCAGGATAAATTCACGAAGTCCTATTATTCCCATTTAGGAAAAACATCTAGACTGGGTGAAGGGAGCTGAATGAGGTCAAAGTTAGAGAAGAACAAGTACAATAATTAACTCCCCTCCAAAATCACTGGGTGGGACCCTGATTTTACTCTCTCCCTCTTAAGACAAGATCATCCCTCTTGGCTTGTGGAGAGTTTAGGATTATTCTGGATACATTCATGACTGGATTGGGGGTACAGCTTTTTCAAGGAATTCTGTCTGGTGAGGTCTTGGAGCACCAAAGAAGGTACAGTTCCTCCTGACAGGGGCAGACCTACTGGTGTCAGGGAAGCCAGCAGCCTCTCCCTGTAGGAGACAGATGAATCCACTGTGCACTCTTGGCTGTACTGGAGAGGCTCTCAAGGCTGCTGCAGGTATTTCTGCTCTTGCTGCTCAGAAATCCCGTGGCCACTTTGCACTCTGTTGTCCTCTCTCTAGCTTTGGAAGAAAATCAGAACCCATGTTGCTTCACTGATAACACGATGACCTTTCTGCATTGTAAGATTATCTCCAGGTGTCTAAAAAACCTTCTTTCTTTTCTTTTTTTTTTTTATTGATTGCATTGCATTATGTGACACAGTGTTATAGGCACTGCGATTCCCCCCACCCCTCCCCCAACCCTCTCCCCATGGTGGATTTCTCCACCTTGTTGCATTACCACAGTTCAAACTCAGTTGAGATTCTTTCATTGGAAGTAGTTACCAAGCATAAAGTCCAGCATCTTATTATCCTAGTGAGTTCAACGATTTCTTGATGAGACCATCTCTGGTCTGAAGGTAAAGCCAACAAAGTATCATCCCAATCAATTAAAAGCCCCAACATAACATCAACAATAATTTATAACATTATGGCATTAATTGACATGGTATTGATTTACCAATATGTTAATAGGAAAATGCAGGTTCTTAACTACATCCTGTGACTTCTTCATAGACATTTCAATTTTGGTTTATATTCAACCAGGTTCTATACACCTCAAAACTATTCAGCTGTCTCGTGTCTATTTTCATTTTAATAGTTAGCTGTTTATAGTGTTGAAGCATGATTTTGCTGAACTTGGTCATTTTTTGGATGGTCTGAACTGGCTTATAACTCTAGCAAGACATGTGTCATCAGTTTAGGTACAGAACATTTTTTTTAGGAGGGGTGTGCAGAGAAATCCCCAATACCCCAGTGAGGTGTAACTAATCTTTGTGTCCCACTTAGTGAGGTATAAGTGAATCCACGCTGGCCATTTCCTGTCTGATTCTAAGCTTTGCTTGTTGTTGTCTGTCCATTCTAGGTTTTTTGTTTGTTTGTATGTTTGTTCATTTGTTTTGAGGGTTTTCTGGAGTGATCCTAATGGTCATCATGAGAGAGGGTGGGGACCCAGAGCCGGAGCTAGGCGAGAACCAGAAAAAGCTCGCCTGCGAGTCCCAAAGAAAGTTTATTATTCTTCTGTTTCTCCGGAACATTCAGGGCTCCTGGTTGTCATTCCAATGACACTGGTTTCTGCACGGCAGAATTTGAATTTCTTCCATCCCCTGTGGAAGCTCCAGATGGGGGTGGATGACCTCAGAGTTCTTGGCCTCTGAAGGCACTCCTATTCTCCGTGGTCTCCTTGGCAGTTGGGATGTAGTCCTTGGTGTCCGTACTGATAGTCCTTGGTGAGAATCTGGGAGTTTTCAGGGTTGGGATACGAGCCTCCTCCTGTCCACCTGCTCCACTCTGGGATCTTCCCCCTGCTCCATACACATGACCTCCTGTTAAGAGGCTGTCAAGATTGCTCCTGATTTAAAGACCCTTTTTTTTTCTTTTTTTTTTAAAGCTACTAACTGATATAGGCAAAATTTACCCCTTGTGATCACCTGTGTCATGGCAGGGGAATCTCATTAGGGTCTCCATTTGCGAGTCACAAATTTTCAAGAAAGTTCTACAACACACTGTAAGATTTTCTGTTACAAAGGGAAAGATATGCAGGCCTGCAAGAAAAGCCTTACTTTCTCTTATTCACCCTCCTGCCTCCTGTTTCCCCTCTTGGATCCCATTCACCTTCTTGGAACAGGATGCCTGCAGTGGCCAAGGCATTTACTGGACATGTGGAACACTGCAGGAAAGGGTTAGAAATAGAGAACTTGATCTCTGCCATCCCATACTTTGTTAGGTAAGCATGAAAAGTGACTGCAATCACATCATTTTGTGTTTGTTTGCCAGATTTCATGTTTTAACAGTTTATAGAATTTGTCTCAGAGTAACTGCTGCTCAACTCCTGAGGAATTTGAGGCCTTGGAGAACCCCATACATACTTTCACAGACTCTGAATCATAGAACTTCTGAGAGGGAGAGTGGATTTGGGGTTCATCTGAGGTAGCTCACCCTTCAAGCCCATGAGCATCTGTGCCATCTATGGTCTTTTTCAAAGTATTCATCAAAACCTTCTTGTAGAAAACTGAGTTTTAGTCCAATTAATTTGATTATTAATTCTTCATAATGATAGTTATATAACAAGATGATTGGTTGCCAATTATTGCAGATTATGTTCTCCAGGGAGCAAACTTTAAAGAGATTTACATGCAAGAGATTTATTAGGGAGTGTTCTTGGAGTCACATCTTAGAAGAAAAAGCTATGTGTGTTACTCTGCTTCAGTCCAGTGAATTGAAGCAACTGCCTTTATAAAGAGAAAAGATATGTTAGGTCACAGTTTTGAAAATTCAAAATCCAAGATGGAGTGACTCCATTGGTTTGGCCTCTGGTGAGGGCAACAGATATACCAGTGGTGGGAGAACCTATTGGAACAGGTGATCACATTTTCAACCAGATCCAAGGGACAGACAGGATAGGGTGCCATAATCTCACTGGAAGGCATTACGTGTGTACCCCCTAGTAAGTCCTAGCTCTTAAATATTTATGGCATCTCTGGATTCTGATACCTGGGAATCAAGTTTTTAAATATGAATCTTAGGAGAACACTCAATGTCCAAACTGTAGCATTATGGAACGAGATTTGCCTGAGATTTAGTCATCTCCAATATAGGTATCAGGCATCCTGAAGTTGGGTTGATCATTCTGTGCTATCCCCAAATGAGATAAAGGTACTGG